ATATATATATATAAAGAGTAAAATCCTCCTATTTCATTTTTCCGCTCAAATTTTTGTAGTCAATTAAGTAAATATTTTATTGGTCAAATCTATACTATTAATTTATTGGTAAAATAATTAATAAAGCATAATTGGTAAGAAAATAATGTAATTTATAAGGAAATATTCTTTGGTAAGAATTTAAGGAATAATATAATGTTATTATGCTGAACTATTATTATAAGGTAATAACCTAATACGGAGTAAGTAATAACTTAATTTATAAGGAATTAATTTTCTTACCAAAGATTAATTTTTAATTTTTAATTTTTAATTCCCTATTATGCTAAACGTTATTATGTTGTTATTATACTAAACATATAATATAATTTTTCAGGAATATTTTTCCTATTTTTTAGAATGGTAATTTAGCTTAGGGATTGATTCTTTTTACTATTTAAACACTTCATTATGCTAACTGTATAGCTTTAAGCTTCCAACAAATTTTTTTGTGGCTGTTGTCTCCTATTTACACCAAAATACGTATGGCTTCAGATATGCAGATGTGATTAAAATACTTTGAAAACAATAATTTAAAATTACCTTTGTCCAACTGCATCCAGCAATATTAGCAAGTCCTTCTCAGACACTTTCATAGAATGATTATATTATTAGCCCACATAAACCTTTGAGCTTTCCAATTCTTCATAAGGTTTCAAGTAATGGAGCTAGACATGAAAAGTGCAGGAAAAATAGTGCAGATGATGAGAACAAAGTGTAATTGATTATTTTTTCATTAAGGTTGTCAGTTGATCCGTTATTTGCCACCAACCCACCATCAACATGAGGATGAGACCGAGTATATCATAAAATGATTTGAAAATAAAGAGTTAAAAATACTTTTAGCATGTTAGCCTATTTTTAAGATAGACGGTAAGGAACATTTTTTGAAAAGCAATATTCAGATTGAATTAGTTGTTTGATTTAATATCTCTATTCTCTGCTTTTATAAATTCAAAAGTATGTGGGACGTAGAGAATGAATTGATTTCTAAATTTGTAAAGTGAGGTTGTGTTCGACAACATGAGAGTTGAAAGGATGCAATTGAAAGGCGAAATGGTAAAGAATAACAAAATGTTGTCCTTAAACGGGTTGTATGGTTAATTAATTTATATAAGGATATAAGGATATCATGAGATTTTTTTTTTTCGAACAGTTATTTCTCTATGTATGCCTTATTCAATTTATATTAACAATTTTACTCTTTATAGTAAACTTAATTTTATTATTATAATAACACAATGCACATAAATAATAATATTATCTCAAACTTATATTACAACAACATAACTAAAATGTTTATAAAAGAGTTAATAGTTTTTTCTCTTATGAAAAGAATGAAAAATCTTTGTTTAAATATAACCGTTTTTTACATTCAAAAATATATATATATATATAACCGTTTTTTAAATGGTCTATTTTTTAAAAATAAAAGGTTAAAATTTTGTATGTTTAACAGATTTAATACGAAAATTAAACGAAACTTTTCAAAAATTAAAGGTTCAATTTTTTCAAATTATATCATTATATTTTCAAATTAAAAGAGTTAATAGTTTTTGTTCTCATGAAAAGGGGAAAGAACACGTGTCGTCAATTTGAAAGTTTAGAACAATACAATTTGAAAGTCAAAAGATCATAGGTCGTCAATTTGAATGTTTAGAACTAAACGTGGCAAAATTACTATACTCAGATGATCACAAATGACATCGAATGGCCAAATATGATATTAACACTTTTTAGTAATTACCTAGCTTAAATATCAATTTTTAATTTAATAACAACAATTTATAAAAGAATAAATCTCATATTTGTTTTTTATATATGAAATTTAATAACATTAATATTTTTAATAACATAACATGATTTTAATATTTTAAATATTGGTTTGTTATGATTTTTTTAAAAAAGTTAAACAGTTTGAGATGCTTAGGAGCCCCCAACCACTGTTTAACTTTGAAAGTTGGAACTCCAGTTATGCTACTGAGAAATATAGATCACTCCTTGGGACTGTGCAATGGTACAAGGTTGATAGTAACACAGTTGAGAAATCATGTTATTGAGGCACAAATTCGATGTGGCAACAACGCAGGTACAAATGTGTTGATATCAAGGCTATCTTTTACTCCTTCAGACCCAAGATTTCCATTTAAATTTCAAAGAAAGTAGTTTTCACTTATGTTGTCATATGCAATGACAATCAACAAAAGTCAAGGTCAAACGCTTTCACAAGTTAGTTTGTTACTGAAAAAAAAAATTGTTTTTAACCATGACCAATTATATGTAACAGTTTCTAAGGTGAGTAATCTTGACGGTCTTAAGGTCTTAATTTGTGGGGAATCTAGACGTCTTTTAAACAAGACTCAAAATGTAGTTTACAAAGAAATCTTTAATAATGTGTAATTGTTTTGTTTATGGAACACTAATAAATCATATTTTGTCTATTTATTACATCTAAAACTTTATTGGTCTTATATCTTCGATATAACAATCTTTTATATATTGCACCATAATATCATGGTCGTGCATCGCACGGGTGCAACTACTAGTATAATTAAAAACAAAAACATCCTAATTCATTTTCCCGCTCAAACTTTTGTAGTAAAGCTTATTTGGTAAGTAAATCTCAAATAGAAATTAAATAAAATCTATTAATTCGTAAATAATAATAATAATAATAATAATAATAATAATAATAATAATAATAATAATAATAATAATAATAATAATAATAATAATAATAATAATAATAATAATAATAATCCAAACAAAACTATATACAAATTAAAATAATAATAATAAACTTCATTTTTTTGAAATTTACTTGTGTTTCTTATTCTAATATTTTTTAATATTTTGTTTGGACACAATTCCAACAAAAACTAATATTTTTTTGGTAGGTTTCAACCCTCAATGCCAGTTGCAGCAGCACATGCCAACGAGACAGTTTCCTGGACGTCCTTGATGATCCTTGATGCACCTTTTTTCGCATATCTCGTCACTATAGCATAGACCCTTGTACGACCTGCTCCGAAACTTCTTAGAGCATCCACATTGGTTGGGAAGAATGGGGAGATAATGTAAGAGTGATTAGGAAAGAGAGTGTGGGAGAGGAGAGAAAAAAATAATAATAAAAAACAAAACAAAAAAAAAAAAAAAAAAAAAAAAAAAAAGAAAGTAGTCAGACGCGTCAGGCGCGCCGACTGGCGCGCCTGACGCGCCTCCGGGCGCGTGCAGTGCACGCGCCCGGCTTTTGCCCAAGGCTGTGCGCGAACGCGCACAGCCTTGCTTCTTCTTCTTTCTCTTTTTTTTTTTTTTTTTTTTTCTGACAATCTCCCTACATTTGCAGGGAGATTATTTTTCAATTATCTCATGTCCACACTAGCTATTATCTCATGAAGGGAAGATTTAATTCTGAATTCTCCCCACAATATCCACAAGTGTGGATGGCCTTAGGGCATTTAATGTCCAGTTTTACATTTTTCATGGGCTCAAATTCTGCAAATATATAACGATATTAATTTTATCCTAAAATCGACGTGATACTCTGATAATATAAAAAGATTGAGAATTATGGTAAACATTTTTTTGCCCGAAATCAATAAGTTCGAAGACCCGAATGAGCTAACTAAAAATTTATTGGACTAGCCCAATAGCTCAAGTTACTTAATGTTATTATTTGTTTCGCAAGTAATATATACAAGAGAGTTTCTTCAAACAAAAAAATAAAAATAAAATCAACAAGATAATTGCGATAATCCAACAAGGTTGACCCAAAACTAACATGGTTGGACTAATTGACATCTCGACCCTAAGTAAATATATCTATGAACAATTACTATGAACAGAAGAATATAATTTTTCAATTGATATATATATATATATATATATATATATATATATATATATATATATATATATATATAAGTCTTAATTACTACATGAGTTAATATACCTTACAATCAAATTAAACTTTGTATGTAAATGATGATCCCAATTCTTTCTAATACATATAACATAATGGAATATATATAGACCGCATATGCAAATTAAATTTATTAATCAAGAATTTTTGAAAAGAACATACCTACTGCATTATAAAGGAGCGGATGTAAGAGGAAAATTATGACAAACAACTCAATGAAGTGGGCCATTAGTCTTGATGATTTTTTTAATTAATTTTTTAATATCTCTTCAAACACAAATATGAAAATAAGAATGAAGGAGTTCAAACATGGGGCGTCTATATATATGGTATGCTTAATGATTTTGGAATGTAAAATATTGTTTTCATCCATTGCATGTGTTATACATGTTTGTTTGGTAATGAATGCGTAGGCCTCAGACCTAAACGTAACAAACACTGTATATATATGGTATGCTTAATGATTTTGGAATGTAAAATATTGTTTTCATCCATTGCATGTGTTATACATGTTTGTTTGGTAATGAATGCGTAGGCCTCAGACGTAAACATGTAACAAACACTGTATATATATGGTATGCTTAATGATTTTGGAATGTAAAATATTGTTTTCATCCATTGCATGTGTTATACAAGTTTGTTTGGTAATGAATGCGTAGGCCTCAGACGTAAACATGTAACAAACACTGTATATATATGGTATGCTTAATGATTTTGGAATGTAAAATATTGTTTTCATCCATTGCATGTGTTATACATGTTTGTTTGGTAATGAATGCGTAGGCCTCAGACCTAAACGTAACAAACACTGTATATATATGGTATGCTTAATGATTTTGGAATGTAAAATATTGTTTTCATCCATTGCATGTGTTATACATGTTTGTTTGGTAATGAATGCGTAGGCCTCAGACCTAAACATGTAACAAACACTGTATATATCACTAAATTTGTTTTTATTCCCTCCTCATGCGATCCAACTTTTATATATATATATATATATATATATATATATATATATATATATATATATATATATATCTAGATTGTAAGGCGGCCTCTGGTTGCCCCTCAAGACACCATTGTGAATTTCTGAAAGTGAATATGTACACCCACCAATTACATATTTGAAATCCACACTCAATCTCCTTCTCTGCAGTGCTCCAGAGGGATGCCCCATTACTAGTATTGCATGAATGGTCATCATATTGTAGAGATTAATAAAGAATGCAAGCTTTTCCTCTCTTGACATATTAGACAAATCTACTCTCTGAAGCTCCTCTACGATCCTCAAGTACCTGGAAAAGTTTCTTTCAGTAAATAAAGAAGCATTTGTACCAAGAATACATATACAGGCTACAAATATGTGCACGAATTTATTTCTTTGCCCAGGGATTGAGTGGGGTGCCCTTGACTTACTTCAATAATGTCTCAAAGGCAATGAAAGAATCTACCCATACACCATAAAACAATTACACACTTAGAACAATAAACAGACCTTGCAAATTCCTCACTCCCATGGATGGTTCTATAGTCAACATGCCTCCTATCTTCTGACGTGTAAGCTTCAAAAATTGCATAAGATAAGAATCTAAGTCTGGATGAAATTTCTACTATGGGTTTTGGCTTCACTTCAATTATGCCCCTAGGAATGTTCTGGCATTGAGATACCAAAGGATCATCATCAAGGAAACAGTACAGGTGGTTGCCATCTTCAAATAAATTCTCACTGTAGCATAAACAAACACCAAAAACAAAGCATAGCATACAATTAGGCAGAAGGTGGAAAGTGTAAGCACAAGTCTAAAGAGAAAACACAATTTTCAGAAACTTACTCAAGTACATGGTGGAAGAAAAGGTTGCTTGCCAGTTTCCGACCAAATTCAATAGCCTACTCCGATCACAATAACAATAGAGGAAAGGTTATCAAATCATACTGGAATGAGAAGAAAACTAAACTAATATTCATTCTTCCATTTCCTCCATACTATAGCTTTTCTTTGTGAAGCTGAACCATTCATACTAGTCATTGTTATTGAGATTTAATCACCTACCACAACAAGAGGCATAAAGTTTCACAGAGTATATTTTACACAGTACACTCCCTCCTCTTCAAACACAGGTATTTATTTTTTTTACCAAGATAATAATAACTTTACTTCCTCAAAGAGTATAACTTGTTAGCTTGAAAACGGAATTACCAAATGCACCTATGCAGCAGAGGATATTAGAATAGAAAATAGTGTTTCTGAGAAAATATCATTTTTTAAGTATGATGTAGGGACAAAAGTGACAACCATATTCAAGCATAGAAATTATGTCCATGATCACAACAAGGTAAAATGTAGCATTAGCAGACAAAAACATTAAAACGGATATATTTTAAATACCTCAAACAAGTTGGAGATAATTATTCCAAAAGAAGAAAATCGGAGATGGGATTAAATTTTAATAGATTATGCAAGTCTAACAGCCATGTGCTCACTCATTGACCAATAGGTCATAGATTCAGACCGTGGAAAGCAGCACACTGAGAATAAAGTTAAAGTTACATATATCTTATTTTCCCAAACCCTTTATGACGCAGTTGCTCGGTGTCATGAGGTGGCTCTATTGCAGAGTGTCCACAAAAATAGTCTGAATAGAAGAGGACAAGCAAATTGCACAAGGGTAACTGTTATAGGAATTTTATTAAAGCCAACCAGATAGCATCAGCAATGCTCATTGAGTAAAACTTACATCTTACTGACAAACTAGAAAGATATCAATTCAATTGTAAACACCACTATACAGTTGTACAGCACTCTATTCTTTTATTGGTGAATTGCCCGAAAAACACAAATGAGGAAAAATTCAATACATTATTAGATCAGTAAATCATGTAGCAGACACCACAAGCTTTTGTTTCCAAACTAAGCTTTATAATATAGACTACCCAGTCTGTAATTCTCAAGCTAACTGGCAATAGCTCCTTCTAATTATGTAACCAAGGCACCAGAGAAAGGGATGTAAAGTAATTAAGAAACATGGATTTTACTTCAGAAATAACTACATACGTTTACCATTATATGGTATGAAGTAGGACTAACCTCTTCCCTTTCCAAGTATTGATCTTCTGACAGGAAATCTACTGCTTCTGATCCCAGAAAACACTTGGTGAATCTCCGCATTTTGTAAAAGCGGTCACTTACAGGAATAGAGTCTTTCATTTTTCTAACAATAAGTGCTAGCTCATCAATAGAACCACTACTGGACAAGTCATCTTCACCTGAAAGAGGGGGTAAAGGTGCTTTAGAGGATGGTGTCTCACTAACAACATATTCAATCTTCTCAGCAAGATTCCCAGACACATCTAAGCTTCTTATTTCACTCAATCCACCTATAAGCACTTCATTAAAGAACACTCTAGGAACATCAGAGGAGCCAGCAATCTTCTCCAGTTCCAGCTTTCTACTTGGGTACACATCAATATTGATTTCAATATATCGAAGTCTTTTATTGTATAGAAACTTTCTTAACTGCTTACAGTCGTTGCAATCAAACCTTGTGTACAACAAAATCTGTCCTTTCATCGCTACTGGTTGGAGTGCTTCTTCTATGGCCTTTTCTTTCTCTCCAACTTTGTCATCAGCATTGTCATCATCATTAAATATCTCAATTAATCTAAGGGCACTCCATCCAGATTGATCTCTATTTTTCTGAGAGACATCTTGATGCTCAGTTTCAATGGAAGTAGGTCTAACCTCCTTAGAACTGCTGCAATTCCTACTATTCTCATCTGCACCCAGAGCATCTTGTCCATCATTGCTTTTCCCAGAAAGGCGACGAAAAACACTAGCAACTGCAATTGCACTCTTCAGCTTTAAAAAATGCTTTACAGATCCTGCCTTTTCAGGCAAAGATCCCTGTTGCCCCAAGTCTTGACCAGGGGAATGAATTGATGAACTCCTATTGACTTCTGGTTTGGGAGCCTCTGCTCCATTAGGGACAGGCTCTACTATCTTATCCTTCTCATAAAGATTGCCTTCGAGGCTCTTGTTTGTTTCCCTGGGATTTCCAGAATCCTCATCCTCTCCAACAACCCTTCTTCCATTTAACTCATCTGTACCGAGTGCCTGCCCAGAAATCTTTTCACTCGTGTTCAATGGTTTATTCTCTTTTGGCAATTGAACTTCTTCTTCTCTATGAACACTGACCTCTCCTTCCATCTTTTCTGATGGTGAATGTGCCTTAGTCTCAGAGTTCCCTTCTTGCAACTCAGAAATAACATTCTTCCCAACAGATTGAAAATTTGAATTTTTTTCTCCTAAAGAGTTCTCTCCTTCCATCTTTTCTGATGGTGAATGTGCCTTATTCTCAGAGTTTCCTTCTTGCAACTCAGAAATAACATTCTTCCCAACAGATTGAAAATTTGAATTTTTTTCTCCTAAAGAGTTCTCTCCTTCCATCTTTTCTGATGGTGAATGTGCCTTAGTCTCAGAGTTCCCTTCTTGCAACTCAGAAATAACATTCTTCCCAACAGATTGAAAATTTGAATTTTTTTCTCCTAAAGAGTTCTCTCCTTCCATCTTTTCTGATGGTGAATGTGCCTTAGTCTCAGAGTTCCCTTCTTGCAACTCAGAAATAACATTCTTCCCAACAGATTGAAAATTTGAATTTTTTTCTCCTAAAGAGTTCTCTCCTTCCATCTTTTCTGATGGTGAATGTGCCTTAGTCTCAGAGTTCCCTTCTTGCAACTCAGAAATAACATTCTTCCCAACAGATTGAAAATTTGAATTTTTTTCTCCTAAAGAGTTCTCTCCTACTTGTCCACCATGGCCATCAACCAAAATCTTCTCCATTGGATAGCTTGGTGAAGAATTTCCAATTTCCTTGTCATCTAATGGGGCATTGAGTGCATTTCCATGTTGCACTTCAGTATTCATGCTACTAACCGAATTTATCTGATCAGAAACTTTATTTTCCTGGGTTTTAGTATCAACATCATGTTCATCTCCTTCCATTACAGTGGCTTGAACAAAGGCTGCACTTCTCTCAGGGGTATCTAACTTTTCCATGATCAGTATGTAAACTCCAAAGTAGCATAACTTTCAGATAAATACTATAATGGCAAAATAGTTAATGGTAACAAAATTTGGGACTTTAGAAGTAGTCTGCAATGATGATAAGAAAACGTAAGTTTAGCTTGAAGCAAAATGTCAACAACAAAAAAAATTGAGAAAAGGAAAGCATAAAAGATTTATCCCAAATTTAAAAGGTCATTCAATTCAATCAGGGAAAAAAAAAAAAAAGGAAAGGTTTGAGGAGAGATTGTCCTCCATCCTGTCAGATATCTTTCTTGCCCAGCATGTGAAGAAAATGAGGTTCAAATTAGCACTCCATTTCTCAACAAGCACTATACACGGAAACATATCTCTCAACCCCACACCCACCCCAACACACTCATTTCCTTTCTTCTCATCTAAGTACAAATTTTCTTTTCTGTTTTCCCATTCCTCTTATCTTCTCTCCCATTTTGTTGACCCTCACTTTCTACCCATCCACACATAGCACAAAAGCTATTCTGTAGTGAAAAGCATTTTAAGTCTTTTAGCCAGAATTCTTACAGATGTTGATTTTTCTTTTTGGTAAGAGATTGTGTAGTACTGATCCAACACATGACAAAATCCAGTTTGAGAGTGGTTGTTTTAAACAACCAGGGACTTGATTCGAAATTTTAAACCGCAAGTGGCTCATGATAATTTTTTTTTTTATTTCCATCAAGCGATATAGTTCCATGCAACTCTTCCACATTCTTTTAGTTTCATATCAGTGATTACACAGTAGTGAAAAAAGCAACCTGAAATGTAATGAAAAACTGACACATACATACAGAGATCCATAAAGCCTTTTTTTTTTTCCAAATGCATATGGATAGGCTCATCATCATCATCATCATTTCACTAAATTCAATCACCACTAAAAAAAAAAAAAAAAAAAAAAAAAAAACACTTAAAGTAAATCATCAAATGATTGGAAAACAGAGTAAAACTAAAATCAATACCAATGAATCGTGCTTCAAAAAACTAATCTTAAAAAAGACGCAATATTATCCCACAGTGATAATGCTTCAGGCTGGCAATCTTCAAACAGTATAACGCCAATCCACACTTGGAATACACAAAAATTAAAGTATAATGACGAACAAATAATTGCACATTCAAATGCGGAAAGAAAAGACTTAATTTATCCTCAAAAAATGTTTGTTCACGTCATGCGTACAGGCGTTCGATATGAGAACGAAAGGAGAAAAAAAAAACTTACGGATCTGAAATGGGACGGATTGAGAAGAGAATGAGGGATTGAAAGGAATCGGAAAAAGATTCGGCGGGGGGTTTACAAAATTTCAGTATTAAATGTAATGTGAAATTTAAGGAAGATTGAAGGGAAACCGTCGTTTTGGAGGAGGACGAGACCCGCGTGACTGGCGGGAACTCATTCTATCGTTCATCATGTTACTTTTTTGCTTCCTTTTATCTTAACTAGTATTTGCACCCGTGCGATGCACGGAATAGATTTGTTGTAATATATTAAGAATATATAAATTAATATATAATTATTTAAATTAGAACATCAAATATTATATAGTGCAATTTTGATGTTATCATTGCTTGAATTTGTGCAAATATTTGATCAAATTAATAGCTAATGTCTAGATGTAAGCATGCGGTGCTATAACTTTGAAGATTTTATTTATCATTGTTTAATATTTTCATAAATTAGTCAAATGTGCTCGTTCTCTAACAACTCAGTTATATAAATGAATTGTTATCCTTATTCATTTGTATGGAAGATATGTGTTTTTTGTCTAGATATATAGCAATTTTTTCATTTAAAAAAAAAAACTTAATATCACCGATTATATTTAAACCTCTTTGTAGACGACAATGGTAGTGGCAACACAATCTTGTTCATCTTCGCCTAGAACTAACACCTTCAATCTATCAGGACGGATTACTTTGGTGAAAATATATAATGGTAGAATATTACTCAATTAGTTATACTTGTATATTTTCAATCAATTAGTAATATCATATTCATTTTCAGCCAATTATTCTTTTTTATTTTCAGTCAATTAGTGAATTAGAATATCAAATGCAGTGTTATTTTTTACCTAATTTTCGTTCCATTTTTAATTGATGATGTAGATATTATTATTAAAATATTTCCGTTCCATTTTTAATTTACCTTTACTATTATTCAGGGGCGGAGCCAGCATGGGGGCAGCTGCCCCCCACCCCCACCCCTACCCCTACCCCTACCCCTATATTATCCTTGTATGTATATATGTATATATAGAACAAATTAAAGTATTAGTAAATGAAACACAGAAGTGTTAACATGTGTTGGTTTAGTGCAGTTGGCTGGGCGGGCGTTTAGCCTTTTGTTAGGTCGAGGGTTCGAATCCTGTGGTGCTAGTAAATTTTATGACTATTTATTATTAATTGTTAGGCTATTACTTCAACACAATTTCATATATATAAAATGAGATGTGTACTTTATAATTTATTTTCTATTCTAATTAATTCATCAAATTAATTATGTTTCATATTTTATTATAAATATTTTTATAAAGTTTTGATATGTTTTATTTTTTACTTATATATCAAAAATATTTATAATTATACTTCTTTAAGTGTTTCATTTTTTTAAAACTTTTTTTTTTTTTGTAATGTTCTGCCCCCACTGACAAAAAATCTTGGCTCCGCCACTGTTATTATTTAAAATATGCATTTACTATTGATAATGTAGAATATTAGTATTGAAATATTTTCCTCCAATTTCTAATTTCCATTCCATTTTTAATTAACATGCAATGATCTGACCATTTCTTTTTTTTTTTTAGTCAATTATGGATCCTTTTGCAGTCAATTATTAATATTCATTTTCTTTTATATTTTCAGTCAATTAGTAATATTAGATTCATTTTCAGTCAATTATTCTTTTTAATTTTCAATAAATTAGTTAATTAGAATATAGATGCAGTTATATTTTTACCTAATTTTCGTTCCATTTTAATTTAATGATGTAGAATATTATTAATGAAATATTTTCGTTTCATTTTTAATTTACCTTTACTATTTTTGAAAATATGCCTTTACTATTTGATGATGTAAAATATTATAATTGAAATATTTTCTTTCCATTTTTAATTTTCCTTTACTTCTTAAAAAAAAAAAAAAAAAAAAAAAAAAAAAAAGACTTTGGACTTACCAATACTTGCCCACATTGATGGCCAAATAATTATGTTTGTAAGAGGAGCAATTTATATAGAGGAGCTCAAAAGCTCATCTTTCCAGACAATTTTAATGTGAGATCAAAATGATACCACATTATTTA